CTTATTCTCGATTTCTTTACTCTGCTATTCTGCAAAGAATCTTTGCTTCTGGAAGTTCGTTATATGTTCATGGTATACATAATATGCATGCCTGTTAGAATAGCCAGAAATACTGGTTTCCCTAACGAAGACAAGCAGTCTATATATTACACGATGTTTACACCGGCTTATGCAACAAGAAGGACCTTTTCTGGCCATAACTTTTATTAATCTAAGCTTATAATGTGTAGATGCAATAAACACATGTGTTATCGTACTAAATATTATCATTTCATTACAAAATCGTCCTAATCCTTGAGATTATCATTACCATATGTTTGTAACATAACTATAAATCATAAAATAACATGTCATAATGTATTAAGTTTATTACATGTCATAAATACTCTGTTCTCTTTTTTACTTTCTTGCTAGACATAATCATACTGTTATCGTTGGCATTGTATTCTTTCACGCTGCGCATCAATGTCCAATGAAATACTGGTTTTGGCTTATCATTACTTATGTAATTGTCTTTTTTTTCTGACTTTTCTTTTCAAGATAAAATTATGTTGATCCGGCACACGCACACTTCATCTTCATATATATTAGCAATCAATCTTTATTATATAACAATATAAGGACAATTGAGTACAAGTGCTTAGAGAATAAGGGGAGTACTGCAACCAAGTATATGGTCCCAGTGATAGAAAGTTCAAAATAATAGAAAGAAGTTATTACAGCAATAATCTGAAACGAATTTGAGTTATACGTTTTACTTTCTGCACTTTATTAAACCAACGAAAAGGAGAAATCTAGTATGCAACTGATTTACCACCGGGCTTTCCAACTGTTGAAATTTGAAGACAAAAAAAAAAACTGCGTCGCATTGATGCGTACATAATTTAGTAAGCAACATAATACGCTTTACACTACGCCTAGTCATTCGCCTGAGACTTATAATTATTTTATTCTTTAGTAGAGTTCAATTCTCTCATGTTTCATGTACGCGGAATTCTATGAAAGACCTTTAAAGAAAGGCATTTTAAACGGTAGCATGTCTACGCGGTTGTAGGCATTCGGTTATATCTGGCATTGGTACGGAATTACTATATTCAGGAAGCTTGCAGCGTATATTCCCCTGGCGTCTTAATAACATATCCAATTCGATGTAATGAAACAGTTAGACACAAGTCTTAATTAAGAACTTCATTATGATGTTATGTTTTATTAGTATATTTTATGTAATTAGTAAGTACTACATTATTTTTATTGGCAGGGTTGAAGATACTTCGAAACAAGTAACACCAGTTTAATACAGGTACATGTTTTGACAAAGACAAGTTTCATGTGTTGTATTAATCATTTTAAGCAGAAAACCATATTTACTGGTCAATATGTCTGAATCAGGTAAGGTTTTCATATTTGTTTGTTGTATCATTAATATTTTTGTATTTCCTGTATAACAGTAAAAAAAAGTGTGTTTCCGTTCGCTAAAAAATCCAGATCATTATGCATGCTGATTAGACCGCAGATCAGTTTTCATTATTTCATTATTTCAAAATGTTGCCGAGTTATGGTCGTTTTATTAGTCAAATACACTAACATCGGCTTGTGATCGCAATTGATATATAATTCCAGATCAGATTACTATGCATCCTCCACAGAGAAGATCAATTCTATGGTTGTCATGTAAATATTCATAAACGTTTAGGTTATTTATATCATCACGAATAGTCGATCTTAATAGTTAAAAATTTGTTTGTCTCGAGTATTGTCTTATCTCAATTGTTAGATGTTGATTCACAACTCTTGAGAATTGAAGATGATATCACTTGGTGATAGGTCTAACACTTAGAAATATTATTGACAGTTCCATTTTCTACATTGTACACGAAAGACCGGGGGAGTTGCCACCGACAAATCTTACTAAGTTTCTGAACTAACCATTTTCCTTATGTGGATCACAGATCAAATAATTTGAACGACAATTTGCAAAGATAAAATAAAGAAAACAAAAAGTGTATTGCAATAGTGAAAATGCAGTAATTCCTTTATTTTTGTAAAACCTACTTCTAGTATGTACAACTGTATTTATATGACCAAAATTTGCTAATGATGTTGAATCTTTATTACTTTCTTTTACTTTACCAAAATAGTTCCTCATCGACTTGTGGAGTTTGGAGAAACCACACTATAGATCTGTAGTATCTTGGGTCTATAAAAACCCTAGTTCGAATATCTATTATTCATTTATTCATTGAAGTTCAAAGATTGGACGATTACACACCATGGTGATATGTTAACCTTTAATCTATTGTACATTTTCTTTATTTCTATGGTAACCTATGAATAATTAAAAGTATATATTTGTATACTATCTTATACTACAGAACGAGTGTATGCATGTAAGTACATGTAGTAATATCACACGTTGTCATTCTAGACTGAAACAGTCCCATTACGTCAAGTTATACGAAGTGAGTGTTCTTTACAAGGGTAGGGATTGTAAAAATAGTAGCCAGCGATTTTCTCGAGCCCTTACATTTTACAAATCCTTTTTACCACGCGATACTTACGTAATAATCTATATAGTTAAGCTTTTCTGGACCACAGACGGGGGTATATGGGAAAAGCTGAAACTTGGATATCTACGATATTTTGGCGTCCGACTTATTAAGCCAGAACATTCTGATACCATAGTGTAAGGACCCCAATTATCTGAAATGTAGTAAAAGTTATAACTTTCTTTTGTGAGGAAAAACAAACAATTACGATTACGATATATTTTTCTCTGTTAAAGATCTGCAGGGCAAACGTTTCAGTCGAAGAATATAATAATATATATATTCTACAAGGCATTCGTAGCCGATTGATGCATCGTTCGCCTGTGATTTATACTCAGCATCCTTCGACTTACAATCAACACTAAAGCCAACTTACAACAATCCATACAAATTTCTAGACTATGAGTATAGTGAGCACGATACATGTAAATACGTCAAAACGTTAAAAATCAAAGAAAAATCGTTTGATCATCAGTCATCACGAAAATCTTTTGATTGGTTGCAAACAATGAAAACAATCCACCAAGAACCGCATAGCGCACACAAAATAGAGTTGAATAGACTGGCGAACAGGCAACAAGTGTGATGCCGTAGACGGCAAATGTTTGCAAATAATTTGATTTTAATTGTATTTTATGTAATTATTGGAATCAGTGTAAGGAATAAATGCCTGACTGCTGTATAGAATATTTGAGGTGTTGTTTATTTAAAATGGATTCTGCCTTGGTTTTAATTAATATGTCTTTAATTGTTGAAAATTCTTTAGAGTTGCCATCCCACATTGAATCATTAATACTAGCTCCTCCCAACGCATTCAGAAACTCTCCATGAGCCCCAGGTTCAATTCGTTTCGGCTCACGCTTTTAAGCTTTTGTTGACATACAGGAAATGAAAACTTGGTTATAATTTATCACGTATTGACGATTTTTACTTTGTGTGTTTGTCAAGTGATGATTTTATTGGAATTCAAATTAATAGATTGGTGGATCATGAATCAATACACTCTTCTGAAGAATTCACGGACTTAAAAGTCTGAAGGTGGTGCTAGAAACAAAAAAAAAAACATTCCGTGATATATCTATATCGACGCCTGAAAATGAACTTCATTGTGAGCATTTGATTGGAATAATATAAATATTCAACATTAATACTGTCTGGTATTCATCTTTATTGAAGTAGATAATTGATAAAATACTAATATATTCTAATTGTTCAACTCCATCGAGGCTATAAAACCACTTCATTGCGTTTTTATTGCGTTTAGAATTTAGTATATTTCCTTGGATTCGAGATTGTCTCTGTGAGTATTAGTCGACTTTTGGATACAAACTGTGTTGATGTTAATTTTTATAAACCGGTGGACAGCATTCAAAATATTGAAAACGTTGGAAATTATACATGTTTAGAAGCTTTTCATTTTTCGTTAATAAAAAAAGAGTCATTCACAGATGAAATAACATCATCATTACTAGAATAATGGCGATCGGCGACCTTTTTTGGGTAGGTAGCCTCATCCCTGGTCACATTTTTCTGGATCTGCTTCAAAACGACATAAATTATCGAGTGGTTAATTGTCGATCAGCCGATCATGTCATGTTCTCCGAAAAAATTGCTGGTGAAGGACTTCCTGGAAGTGGTTCATCGTAAAAACTCTATCTGTGTTTCAGTCTCAGATACATGAAGACTGCCTTAGCCTATACATTAATCGGTTTTGTCCATTTTTGATGATTTCAATTGGTAGGTTCACAAGATTATGTCTATGATTCATTGAATGATTTTATTTGTTGGCGAAAAATACGATTGAGGTATCCGACTTAGGGTTTAAAAGGTTTCAGCCAACCCTCGTAGCTCAAGTTTTAAGCATTCGTCTGTGCTTGCTAATTGAACAATGACCACACAGAGTAGAGAATATCTTTGTGAACCACTATATTATATTATAATTGTTGGTAGATGTCTCAGAAGACTTTGTCATGATGACTTTAATAATATTCAAAGATGCTGAAGTAGACATTTGTATTATATGAATAGATGAAAGTGGAGCTCTGTGGGATTGAAAAATCTTACCTTAAAATATAAACAAATGACATTTACACATTAATTTTTAAAAAGCAATAACATCTGAAGCTTTTAAATAGATTTTTTCACTAGTGAATACAGGCCCTTTCATTTCAAACATTATCGTTTGTCGTAAATGTAATAAAATTTGTTTAAATATATTTGATTTCTGTGATTTTCATCTCCATGGATACGTGCCATTTGGTATCAGAAATGTAATCTTCATTATTGAATTCCACTATCTCATAATTCAGCTTATACATTTCTTTCATTTCAGATATCTCGACGAGGGAAAAGCTCCTCGCCGACAGTATGACAGAGGGTTCTGTCACCATGCAGATCAGCGGAATATCCCAAAACAGCATTCTGGAACCGGACAAAATTTTACCGAAAAAGAATATGTGTTGGACAAGAGTTAAACATGTGCTAAAAGTTTTGTATTCCTACATCCGTTCTCTAATAGGACTATTGTTTTTATTAATTGTCTATTCCCTAATTGGTGCTTTTATATTTCGAGCCATTGAAGCTCCATATGAAACTGAACAAAAGGCGATTATAAAAAAGGAAAGGAAAGAGATTATTGAACAATTTGTGAATTTTACCAATTTACCCGTACTTAACGAGACTGAGCTTAGAAATCAATTATTTAATTTACTAAAAGATTATGAAGAGGAAGTCTACACGGCTTATAAAACTGGTGTTTCACTTTCCGTCACTAAACCAAAATGGGATTTTTATACTGCTTTATTTTATTGTGGAACTGTTTATACGACAATAGGTATGGTTTATTATCTTTTCATCACCACCCTTGAACATGAATGTAGTTTATAAGACTGCAGTAATTGGAACTTTTGATTTAAAAACATATCCGAACAGCTTTGGTCAGATCTCGAAGAAAACTTAGTATTCATTATAAAATGCGGATTGATGATAGACAATCGATTTTTTAAATGAAATGTCATTAAGTACTTTTGTATAGTTGGTTGATTGGATGCTGATATCGCAAACTAGGTAGTTTTTGGTCCTTTTGTATGGTCACAAAGAACCGTATATATCTGACAGTTGCCAATGGGCGTTTGTTGCCTGGCAAGCTGACATATCAGTACTGATTTTGTTGAGTACAAGTCAGATAGGAAATCAGAACTGGTTTACTTTTTTCCAATCGTTTCAATCAATATCAAATTTATTATCTATTCTAACATAAAAAGAAAATGGTGGATTTCAAATGTATTACCAAATGTCACAATTTTTTATCCGCCAAATTTCCGTTGTCGAGACCCATGAAATAAGGGTCAAGGTGAGGGATTCATATAAAAAATCGAAACAAACCAATTTTAATTATTTTATAGAATATCTGAAGGAACGTCTAAAATATAAAAAAAAATTCTCTGTTGAATCTTTTTATGTATGAATATATGTTACACCACTGTGGTAATCTGACATGTAACACACCATGCGGTATAAACGTCATCTATGTAAATAATACCTCAATAGCCTACTTAACTTATAGATAAATTAATTTTTTAAACCAGTGAATGAAATTAAATATTGTCACAAATTTAAAGTTCTCATGTAACTTGGTGCTTGAAAAAAGAATGTATGTATAAAAACAACTCGCAAACTTTTTCAACATGACAAAATCTGACATTCGTTAGTCAAATCAAAATGATAATCACTTTTACTTATGTAAAGAATATTATTTTGTAATGATGAGTTTTATTTTTCAGGATATGGTCACATCTATCCTTCAACTACCTTAGGACAAATTGTTACAATAATATATGCCTTTATTGGTATACCACTCGCGTTAATAACATTAGCTGATATGGGTAAACGATTCACGTTTGGAATTAAATTTGTTTTAGCCTTTCTAAGTCAGATATGTAAAAGTAGATGTTGTAGGAAAGTAAGACGATGTAAAACTGAGGATTACAATTTAGAGGAAGCTACTATAGGAAAAGTAGCTAACGGAACCGAAGTAAGACCTGGTGTAAAGATGTATTTTGGATATGAAGTGGACACGGAATTTAATGTGAATTTCTATTTGGCACTAACCATTGTTATAGTGTATATGTTTCTAGGAGCTTTTATATACACCAGATGGGAAGCTTGGACGTATTTCGAAGCGGTGTATTTTATTTTCATTTCTATTAGTACCATAGGTTTCGGGGATATTATACCTGCTCATCCCAAATTTTTCCTTTTATCATCAGTGTATGTGTTTATAGGACTCTCTCTAGTATCAATGTGTATTAACGTGGCTATAGTTTACTTTACACAACAAATTGACAAAGCAAAGGTGAACATTGGACGTGCTACGGAGATGGCTATGGAAAGGACTAATAAAACATTTTCACTTGCCAAAGGAAAGATGCACGAAATGAGCATTAAGATGAACAATCACCATCATCATGATCATAGCCCCGATCGTGATCATAATGTTCATCATCATTCCGGGGAAAATGGTCATCAAAAGAAACATAATCATAATATTTTCAAAGTAAATTTTAAAAATGGTCACGTTCATGGTCGACATCGCCATGGAAGGAATTCTATCTAATGTTCAATTATATGTGCCACTTTTATTGCTACATTTTAACATGGATGTTTTAGCATTCAAATGATTTAATCTAGTAATGATGTAACCTGTGTTTAACTGAGAAGCTTGCCATCATTAATGCCTCCAAGCACACTTCTTTGAACAAACGTTCCGAACTCGTCTCGAAGGAAGTGGACACTTGAGAATAATTTCTACTTGTCTAACTTCCGTGAAGACACAGGCTGAAAATTAGGTCAGTTGTCTGAAGATCACATAACGTGAAACTCCGAGTAACAACAACATGTTTTTTTTAGGTTCTGTTTTTAATTTTTCTTTATCGCTCTACAGTTTATGTATTGAGCACTATATAAACAGTGAAAATAGTATATTGTATTGTTTATTGCTTGTCATCATTAATGCCCCTAAGCACACTTTTTTGAACAATCGTTTCGAACTCTTCTCGAAGTGTAGATATGAAAAGTTCTAACATGTTTTTTAAGTTCTGTTTTAATATTTCTTAAGGATATTATTGAAATATTCTATAATATAAGGTTATGCTACATCAGTTTTATCACAGTGATATCGCCCATGAATAGTCATTCTGTTGCTATGGTAGTTTTGTAAGCATGTTTTATTATTCATGCACCAAAGCTTCTCTTTATGTTTCTATGCTTCCTTCCATAAAATCGATTTCAGTTTCAAAGAAGCGACGGTTTACTTGTAATTACTTTTTTTTTTTATAATTTTATAAAATGCCTTTTATTGTATGTTTGTGGCGACAAGATGATCTTTATCAAAAAAAATAGTTTGTGCACGGTTGTTCATATTAAAGATAATGTTTACGATACGTTTAAATAGTGTGACCAGAATATATTTCTTTATTAATCAATTTACTTAGTGAGCTTTACAGTGCATAAACACAGCATGTTCGTTTATACGGCTGCATAGTGACGTAGTTCAAGATAGTACTTTTTGATGATTTATCTACATCACTCTGCAGAGTGCTTTTTGTGTGGGAGTATGCAGCGATGTACTTAAAGTTACAATCAAAGGAAGTTCATGAAATATTAAACTTTTAGGGGAAATAAACGAAACAAAAGGAAAAATAATCTAATAACTTTGTTTTGTGGACCGAAACATCTGCCTCTATTCTAGTCTGTGATAGCTATTTTGAAAGTTATCGGCTGGTATAGATAACTTTCAAAATAGCTATCACAGACTGGAATAAAGACAAATGTTTCGAACTAATTATTTTGATACTGGGATATACTTCCCCTTTAAATGAGATGACTTGCTATTTACATGAAATAATGAAATAGTAGGTTATCTTCTATACCATTTTATTTACATCTCATAGTTTCATTACTTACCATGTATATGAGAACAGATATCAAAAATATAAATGTATTATAAATCAAGATTGGATAAAAACAAACCATAATAAAAATTTACACGGAATTGTCTAATTCTATCTATTTATTTGTGTCGTTATTTGACATATTAATACAGTAGAATCCAATGTATGATGATATTTACCATTGCCCATATATAACAATTACACGTAGACAACATTCTGAAAACATTACAACATCAGCATTACTGATTCGCTGAATGATTAAACTTTCGATGCAAAGAGATTAGTACATGTATTGTTAATGAAATGAAACAGGGCTAATTGAGACTATTTTCTTACTAAAGGTACGTGCGCACGGACGGACGGTCTTTGCGATTTTTGACGCCGACTCGAATCTTGAGTAAAATCTCGCGTGTGCCCGTGCTTTCACGACACGATTATCTCGTTCGTTTGATAATAATTATTGTCTCCGATAGTTTTCATGACGTCATCGTTTAATCAGAATCATTTCCTTTCAATTGTATGTTCCGCACGTGATTTTCGACATGATGGAAAACGACCGACTTGAGATTTTTGTCTTTTCGTGTGAAACGTCGGTGAAACTCTTGACATGACTCTAGTCGACAACAAAAAACGCAGACGAAGACCGTTCGTATGTCCGCAAGATTACAGCAATGTGTATGATCAGATCCATACATAGGCTATAAATTACTTACATTGTCTTGATATTAAGTTACACTGTGAGTTCGATAGTAATGTTGTCGAGAGGGGGGTGGGGGTTAAATCATCACACCAAAGGTTCGAATTAATAGATTTAATAATCAACAAAAAACCCTAAAGGGATTTAAACGTTAAAAAGTTAAGGTATAGCACCTTACCACCAAGGGTTATATAAAGGGAATCTATACTGAAAGTTATCTTAAGTTCCAAATCCAAGGTACATACTGGAAAAGTGTATACAAACACTAAAGAAAGCTATAAACCTAATAGAAGAAACTTCAATTACACCAAATTACAGAAACGACAATACTGATTGATAGAACAAGCTATCCTACATATATAAAGACAGAATGACCACAAAAACATAATAAAAATACAACTCAGGGGGTCATTACAGCTCAGATGAACAAATGTAGACACCAAGATGAACAAAGATCAGAAACAAAAAAAAATGAAATGAAATGAATGGAGTTTTACGTCCTACTCTTCTGCACCTTGTGGGCTAATGAAGACGGGCAACGACATGCCATGAGGAAAATTTTGCCAGGACAGCGGCATTAGCCTGCTCTTTTTCGATTTCCAACTGTCGAGGGATCTTTAACGTGCACAGCCTGTAGCACACGAGGCCTCGGTTTATTGTCCCATCCGAACGACTAGACGCTTTTTCCATGTCAGCCCCTCTTACCTGCATCACTGACAGGGGAAAGATCAGAAACAGAAAAGATATAGAAAGGTAGAAAAGGCAGTGAAGTGTAACTGTTAGTGTAATACTGTGAACTGAAAACAACTAATTACAATTTAAACCAGTTTAATTACACCCTTCAACAGTAACGTCATCCTTTTGAAAGGAACATAAACCACAGACGTCAGACAACCAGAGTACAATCATGTAGTGTAAGCAGAAGCTGTAAGTTTCTTCGATAAGCATAATATCCAAGGGTTAGGTAACTTTTGTCGAATCCCTTAACATTAATCAGAATCAAATCAATCAACTAGAGTATTATATTGCTCCAACCAGACTTCATAACATCCCGCTGGAAGTAAACTATGACATAAACTACTATTTAGATTACTATAAATGCATGAACACAACATCAAGGGAATTAATTTCAGTATTTCACATTAAATATGTTCAAGCTATTAATGTCTGTCGTCATCGAATTGATGTACACATATACTCAAGAAGATAAGATGCGAGAACCTTTATTATTATTCAATTGCTATATCAGTTATGATTTGACATATTAATTGTTGACCATAAAAGACTGATTCGTTCAAGTGAACTATATCTGTGTAGTATAAGCTTCTGCCGTCGAAGTTCTGTTTTTGAGGACTTAAAAATAAGTACACTATATTTTGTAACTGGAATATGAAATATTCGTATTCTAACAATTAGGCCAATCACTTAAATTACACAAGTCAATCACGAGGTCTTATGCAAAAATGAGAGTTCAGTTAATTTAATTTATATGTGAACAGAGTGAAACAGGTCCCAATTAAAAGTCGTTGGCTGTTATGCGACGTTGTACCGCTGCAACGACATAATATGAAATTATTATGAAAGTATTTAATTGATACCTGTCCAATTTGTTTTCATATGATTTCGGACAGTTCCACTTTAAACAAAATAATTTTGTAGGACAATAACACTGTTAATTAAAATCCAAACTAAAACATGCACGGATCTGTAAAAGCTGATCATTATAACATGATGGGTTTTTAAATAATAAATGAAGCAGTTTTGTTAATAACTACTTACATTCATTAAATTAAATATGCTTCACTGCCATTTTCTGAGTTATTGTCTCTATTGAAAACAAACTACAGTTATTGAAAACAAACTATTGTTATTGAAAATAAACTATTGTTATTGAAAACTAAGGTTTTATTGATTAAGGAGTAAGTTTAACATAATGATGATATCATTATGTCATTGATACCGGACTTTTGATAAGGTTGTTGTTTTCAACATAACCAGTGATGGAAGCGAATACTAAGTCTGATATCACCAACATTTCAACACAGAGATCTGGCCTAGGAACCATTCTTAATTTTTTCAAGCTCATATATGGACTTGTAAAATCTGTTGTTGGATTAATGTTTATATTGACGCTTTATTCTGTTATTGGGGCTTATATTTTCTTGGCTATTGAATCGTCTAATGAACAGGTTCAGAAGAACGAAATTAAGTTTGAAAGACAAGGACTGATAATGGTCTTAAAAAATATGACCTTTTCAGAAAATACGACTGACAATGAAGATCAGCTAAATAAATTGCTCATAAACTATGAAACAAACGTTATAAATGCGTACAGAAATGGAATGACTGCTTCATCAACTGGTGTCCAATGGCATTTTCAGTCTGCCGTATTTTACTGTTTAACAGTATATACTACCATAGGTAAGTTAACCTTTTAAATGAATATGTTATAGAAGATCAATTGTATTTCAAATTATTTTTATGCTCCCTTATCTCTTCAACCAGATATAATTTATTAAATAATTGTGAGAATAGTGTTTGCCAGTACTTATGGAACTTACGTAAAAATGGAAAATTAAATCATTTTAGGTTATGGATGCATCGTTCCTGTTACATCACTTGGTAGATCTGTAACAATTGTCTATGCCTTGATTGGGATACCACTTGCATTGGTTATCTTAGCTAAACTTGGGAAAAAGTTCACATGGTGGATTAAATTTATGTTCGCATTGGGCTGTAAGATTTTCAGAAAGACTTGTGGAAGATGTAACAAGGTGGTAGACAGTGGAGGAACGGAATTTAAAGACGTCCCGAATGGCACCGAAGTCAGACCTGGAGTAAAAGTATATTTCGGTTTTGAATTAGACACGGAATTTAATCTGAATCTTTTCTGGGCATTGTTGGTTTCATTAGCGTATATATTTCTTGGCGCAGTGATGTATTCGCATCTTGAGAACTGGACCTATCTTGAAGCAGCATATTATATATTTATATCTATAAGTACAATTGGATTCGGTGATCTTGTTTCTACAAATAGAGATTATTTCGTTCTTTACTCAATATACATATTCTTTGGACTTTCGTTAATATCAATGTGCATTAATGTTGCAATTGATGTTCTAACAAAGCAAATTCAAAAAGCGAAAATCCAAAGGGAAAAAATTAAGGAAAAATTGAGGGGGAGACGAATTGAACGAGGTAAAGCGATTGCAATAGACAAATGATAGGTATACTCAGACTCATGGCTCGCTATAAATGTCATTTTTCTTTTATGAAATTATATTATCACCATCCAAGATACAATAACAACATGCTCAGCATGTTAGTACAATTCATTTTAAATTTTGGTTATACCTGCTTGTATTATAATTTAGCAATTGAAGTATTATATTGAACTCAGGCTACATCAGATCGATTCGTTTTTTAAAACGATTGAATGAGTTTATCCTGTTCAAACTACATAAAAGTATATATGAAAACCTTCGTCGATGGACATTTTACTTGTGATTTATACAGGTACAATTCAATAATTCAATCACCCTTCCTCAATATTCAATCAACCCAACTAAGTATATGGTAATGGCCGAAAGCAGTCCAATAAGTTCAATAATGATCGCAACACAAGGACCGAAGGTCCGCCTGTTACTCATTATTGAACGCAGTGGACGTGCCATTACATACACATATAAAAACTTTTTCAAGATGTCCTGTCAGGATTTATCAAAAATATACTTGTTCCAGGTAAATATTATTCATATTTTATCGCTTCGACATTCATTTCAATGTTCAAGATTAGGGGTGGTAAAAACGTAAGCAATATCGATGGTTATTTACATGCAAGCACGTTCAGGGTATATTCTTTAAGTGATTATTATTTTAGTCTTTGTAAGACATATAGAAGCAGGAAGGTAAACATTAAGAACACAAGTTATATGGATATACTGTTTCTAGTTTTATTACATAGTACGTTTCGAAACACACACAGGTAACGTTATCAAGTAAAATGATTAACAACCAAACAAGACAAGATATATAGGTAAATCAATAGAAGCCAAAAAGGGATTCATGATCGTTATTGTTATATCCCTTTATAGCTTCTCCAATATTGTGTCACACTTCATATGGGCGTAAAGAAACACAGAAAAAATGTATATACATGTATATAATTTTAGAAAGAACAAAAAAAAAATTATTCTTATACAAAATACGAAACGTATAATAGGAGTGTTTCTGGTTTTGTAAGCAGCATAAGTATAGATGTTGTATCACCTACATACATAACCAAACAGTAATCTCAAATTTTCCCACACTACCTTATACACAGGATGAATAGGTCCATTTGCAATAGCAGTATTCATGTCCCAAAAATTCAAAAATATAACTGAATCTTTAAACTCTTCAAACTCTCTCTGCAGCACATCAATAAATATTTTTCCTTGAAAGTCATTTAAACACGATGGACACATTGTGTGATAAAACACATGAGGTGATTTAATAGCAACTTTTATATCTTTGTTTCTCTTTAAAGCGTTTCTAACTGCTGTTTTTAACGACCTTACATGGTTTATATATAGTGTGTAATGTTGTCTGACGAAATGACAAAAATAATGTAAAACAAAAATCACTTTTCCAGTGGATGGTAATTCATTGAGAGATGTAACTGCGGATTTCAGACTCATCTTACCATTAGCTTGTTTGTGTCCGTTGGGAAATGGAAATACATGAGGAGCCCATATCAGAGTAAAATTTATGTTTTTAGATTTACAGACAGAATACTCATACCATTTAGGTTTAGTCCATTCTTCCGTAGATTGATTACAATTAGTTAAATTTAGCATTGCTTTGTACCACTGTCTTGTTGTAGAGTCGCCATAGATAATCAGCGTTGTATTTTCTATACATGACAAAATGGAATCCTTTTTTATATGGTTTTTACATTTTAGTTGTTTCCATTCATCATGTTGAAAATATCCAGTTGGCATTTTGGTGTTCCAGGTATCTCTTACTGGCAGGCTGCTACAATTGACTCGCGGTTCTTCCAACCATCCTGAAAACAGAAATTAGTATTCTGGTATGTCGCTTGAACATCCAAAACAATTTTTCAACTTTTGAGGGAGTATAAACATGGTTCTGTTCAAAAGTGCACAAATTCAACAAAACTTACCGCTATCAACATGGACTTTTACTGATTGAAGAACTGTTTTAGTGTTATTTCTGAAAAACGAATGGGCGAGAATACATTGCTTTGTTAAAGGAAAAACAAATACCCCATCTTGCATTAGAGAGACATTATGAACCACCCAGTCTAGTACTGTCCAATTATTACTCCCGATTTTGTTATGCATTGGTCGGGATTGTGGTTGATGGAATTGTTTTGCTCGTTCGCATTAGAATTAAGGCATTTTATTAAGTTCACAGTCCACTTAATTATATTAAATGACGAAGTTAAAATAAAAATGAGATACCTATTAAATGTGATGAACTCTGCAGTGGTTACTGGTATCTGGGTATAATCAAAGTCATTTGCCAATTTAAAATCATCGCAGGTGAGAAGAGGATTGAGTGGTCGACCACAAAACCAGGGATAATTATCATTGACATCTGTTAAATTACACACGGATGTATAGCCAGGTATGGTAGAATACATAGAACATAACACATATTCCTGCAATTTTCCCTTTAAAAATATTCCATAATAATAGAATAGAGTTTTATATTGGCGTCGCCATTTCAACATAGATGCGATTGCTTCCCTTGTATAAGGTATAGCTGTGTGTATAATGGAATCTCCGTTCCACAGAGCTTTAAATGTAGCAATATAAGACCCATTTTTTAAATCTATAACATCACCGCTGGCTTTATAGTTACCATTTGTTGATTTCATCCAAACACGAATATCGTCACCTCCAATTAATCTTCGTCTACCTATTCCATCAATTAGATGAATTTTAACTCTAATTACATCACCAACTTTGTAAAGTTTCGAAGGTTGTTCCAAAACGACTTGGGACTTTGTGGCACTGGCTGAATTCAGTATATCTACAAATTCTTCATCATTTATTGTTTCTTTTTCAATCGGCAACATTTCCTTTTTAGGCAGAAAAGTTTTGTCGTTTATGGCACCAGATGGCAGAAGAACAATTTCTTTCGGGAAACATGCACACAGTGGCGTTTGGCACTGGTTAACACCTATAAGGTTCTCATGCATTGGACCTATACATTGTTGACGCATCCCATGTGCAACACAACGCATCGGCTTCAAGGATAAGTATATAGTAGGTCTTTTGGTAGTTAAGGCCACACCGGGTGCAGTCCTAACGACTGGTAACTTTGAAGTTGATATTTCTTGTAGCACCATGTGTTCTTTAACATCATATCTGGAAACTGTGGTTCCCGCCATTACAATTGAATTTTTAGGTTGGCTGAAACAGCAGAAACATTAAACATAAACTTACCTCAACAAACGTGGGTAAGACAATAGAGTAATGCATAACCCAAATAGCAAGAGTAAGGGATCTCAAACGTATATTGAACATCTGATTCTGATATTTATGCGTGTCATCGAGTGGCATCGAGCTTACTAGTGAGCACATCCTGCTTAATGTTTTCAGGAATAAGATAAAATTGTTTACATTACCTGTGAACTTGGGGCCGTTGTGATAGGAGGTGTGGCCACACTAAGTAGGTTAATGCCATCACAAATGATGAAAGTATTATGAAGCTAAACTTTTTCATATTTACGGTCAAATTAAACCAACACATAATTACAATACGCAGAAGGTGGACTAAAAGCAAAAGAAAGTAGACATTGGTATTGGCAGTAGTTATCTATGAAATAGGTCTATATCACTATATATAATACGTGACTCCAAAGTTTCAACCAAACGGTCACACCCAAGAAGTGCCTTGGAATGCCAGTTCCCGCATCAAATCCCACTGGTAGCACTGCTCTTTTATTGTTCAACTGGATTAAACCGGGATGCAGAGTCCGGGATGAAGAGTCGATGTTTCAGTGTCTTCAAGGGAGATATGAGAGTATGAGACCTTACAATTGACTCGAACAATTGGGAAAGTTATTACCCTTGTTCTTGAAAACGCGTTCAATTTCAAGCTCGCTAACACTCTGGAATGCACAATTCTTGGCGGATTTTGACGAAACTTGGTAATATGGTTCAGTATAATATAAAAAGAAGTGTATGACTAAAGGTTGACTATTTTATACTGGTGATTGTTACTGTTTGCCAAATATTTTTTATTCAAAATCAAAGCTGCCAGTGGGCGTATATTGTCTTGCCTGGCAAACTGTCTTTATATTCGTAAACATAATTATTATAAAAATATATATATTAAATGCATATTTAACTGGTTAGTACTCACCCTATCTCGAAGGATCGCTTGCTTTAAATGCACATTAAATATGTGCTTGACCGTGTTTTGGTGACACATTTTCTAAACTAACAATAGCTTCTGGCAAAGGGAGAACCTACTGGTTTGCCAGCTGTTTCTGTTTAATCTCGCCTTGTCCCCTTCCTCCAAAGGATTAGCTAAAATGGGAAAGAGATCATAGACATAAAATTAAAGAAATTTATTGCCTTATGTTGTCGAGGACACACCCAGGGTTCAGTAGAGAGATAGATATCTAACATCATCACAAACAATTTGAAAGTACAACCAAGAATAAAATTACTACGATGAACGTAGAATAAATATTTACTCTTAATTAAACTAATAAATATATCTATGGCCATCGTAATTCGTCCACAATTGTAAAGTCGTCCGGGAGGTTTCGTCTAATCAGTCAAGAATGTTTCCTTCTGGAGTGTTGACTATATAGGTCATAACACAAATCAATCGCACATATTACTGCATCGCACCCAGATCACTTCCGATCGCAATGTCGACACGAAACGTGGCAATATGACTTAGTAATGTATCTTGATTACTCACAGCAATTTTCAGATCGATCTGACACCCCATACTATGTTAGATCAATCGCTAAAGTCATAGCACAATTCCCCTAATGCTGCATCACACCCCGATCAACCTCGATCGCGATATCGACACGAAACGTGGCAATATGACTTAGTAATGTGTCTTGATTACTCCCAGAAATTTTCAGAACAATCAGACACCCCATACTCTGTTAAATCAATCGCTAAAGTCATGTCACAATCACTCCCCATCGCGACATCGACACGAAAAATGGCAATATGACTTAGTAATGTGTCTTGATTACTCACAGAAATATTCAGAACCATCAGACACCCCATACTCTGTTAAATCAATCGCTAAAGTCATAGCACAATTCCCCTATTGCCGCATCGCACCCGATCACTTCCGATCGATATCAAACTCGACAGACACAATAATATGTATTGATTAATCACAGAACTCTTTTGATGCATTGCACTGCAAACACTTCCAAAAACAATATCGTTTTAGTAGAACTGATGGGAACATGTGTCCTGTTTTACAGCCTATATTGCGATATGCCATTATGTGATATATCTTCTGACACACTAGTGTAATTTTAATATTCAGAAATGAGAACCGCCGAATTCTATATTACCTTAGCGTGGAAGTACAAACCTTCCCCCCCAGTTTATCCGAACATCTTATTTTGATAGAATAAAGTAGTAGTATACTCGTTTAAATCTTTGTTTAACACATTCGACATACAGAACGTTTATTGTTTATTATAAGAATATTTAATAATACTGTCATCATTACAATACAAGAATTCTCTTGAAATATATTTGTAGGGCTTTTTCAACAAGATGTAATCATCTGTGTTTACTTTTCAATTCTATTAAGGTTTCCATTTAATTTGATTTTTTAATTTGCATCCACTTAATATTTATAATAAAATATAATTGTGACTTCCTTCTGAACTTGGTTAAAATGGCTGCAGCTGCACCTACTTTATTTCTGCCAAATCAGGTTGAATTTAACCAGTTTACTTTAATGGACATTGGTATAAGATTTAAGAATGATCTTCCTGCGACCATTGATATTTGCCGTCAAAATGGATTATTGGCGAGGTCAGTTTTGTGTACAAATTGCAACGTTCAATGTGTGGAAGGCAGATATGCACGGGGCATTGACAGAGTGACATGGCGCTGTACGATATGCAGAACAACAAAAGATATCCGCATTGGAAGTTTTTTCGAAAGGTCCCATTTGCAAATATGACAAATTTTAGGATTAACATATCTTTGGGCCTATAGCTGTGGCTCGTCTAGGGCTTTATCGGTTGACCAGACTATGAGAGAATTGCAGATTTTTTCCGAATACACAATTGTCGATTGAAATCAGGTTTGCAGAGATGTATGTGTTAAGTATTTCATTAACCATCCTAAATTAGGTGGTGTAGGGCAGATAGTGGAAATTGACGAAAGTTCGTTTGCCAGTGGATCTTTGGTGGGTATGATCCTGCTCTGAAACTGGGATTTCTTGTGCCAGTTGCCCAGAGAAATGCTGCCACACTGAAACCAATTATTCAACAATTGATACTTCCCGGAACTGGGCAGCATACAACAACTTGGGAAATCTTGGCTATATACACCAAACTGTCAATCATACCCAAAATTTTGTTAATCCGGTGAAAGGTATACAACTAACAGAGGGAATGTGGCAAAAAGCAAAAAATAAGATGAAAACTATGCACGGCACCAGTAGGGAATTCATTGCAGACTACATGGCTAAATTTATGTCACTGTCACTGAATTGTCACTGGTTTCTAAAACACTCCAGTAGAGCATCTCTGTATTTTGAATCTGTGTGGACACCCCTTTCCGAACGTCGCAAAGCAAGACGATTAAATACTTACCACAAAATTATCCATGATCATTCACCTCAATACTTAATTGATTTTAATGAAGAAATAAATTCCTATACTTATCATGATTATAGCCATCGAAATTTCACGAATCAAAATGTCCCATATGTTAGAACTATTATGTCAAAGATCAATCTTCAGCACTACCATCAATGACTGGAATGAATTAGATATTAATACCAAGCTAATTGGTGATTTTAATACTTTTAAATACAATGTCAAAAGATCACTAATAAATACCGGTAAGGCCCCTAAGTATTAATCCCTTTTAAACAGGTTTGAAAATATTCAACATACAAAACTGCGACACGGCCGAAGCTCACTTAAAGGTGGTTATTTAGATTTAGAATAGTAGATGATTCAATGTGCTTGTGTGGCTTTCAAGAGGAAGATGCCCATCACTACTTTTTTGATTGTCCATTATAATATTATGTTATCCAAAGTCATGTCCTCAACAGATACAGGTAGATTTTACATTGTTTAATATTGACAGTATACTATGTGGTGATCCTAATCATATAATTCAAATGTTAAATTATTCGAGCATGTACAGCAGTTTATTAGAACATCCCAACGATTTACAAATTGAAAGTAATAATTGATTGTTAAGTTATTTATCCATATGATTCATCTAGAACTTGTCGGTGGCGTATTGTATTGTATTGTATTGTATTGTATTATAAATGTATTTATATTTTTATCGTGTGAAATGGAAAACACCTATATGTTTGGAGAGAGTGATCCATTTGAATTCCAATAAAATATGTTTGAACATTAAACATCAGCATACCTAAGTTTATATGGAAGTGATTGCAGTTCTGTTCTTATATTCCTCTCCATCATTAATTGTCAATATCCTGTTGATTGTAGTAGAGTCGTTCTGGAAAGCATCATAAATTTCTTCCAGTAATTTAGCTGTAATTGGTAAATTATGTTGTACAGCATCAATATATTGTTCAACGTCATGTTCTGAGGCTTTTACTTCAATTTCAGCACTTTCTTCCAATGAAGCTATTGACAAGGTATCATGAACTATCCTTTCATTTCAAGTATATTGATAAAGTCTTCTCAATCTCATCAGTAACTTTTATTAATATCTTGTTTGATGATGAATGATGAATGGTTTATGATCTGTCAACAGCTTAAACATTTCTAAATCAATCAAATATCTTGGAAATTTGTAACAGACCCATACTCTTGCTAAACATTCTTTTCCGATCTTTGCCCATTTCTTCTCATCTCTTCCCTTCTGTGGATTTGGGCGTAATCTTTGTAACTCCAACTGTGTGACTAAAATATTCTGGGGTTGTTTTATTTTTGGTAACATCAGTCTTTCACGTTTGACAATTTCATTACATCTACACATATTCTTATTTTTCCTGTTGATTTTTAAATTGGTGCTATAGGAGCACACCAATCTGTAGGCTCTGTAATCTTCTGAATGATATCATCCTTTACCATACCATTTAATTCATTCTGACTTTGTCATTCTATTCTTACTGGTGGACACTTTGCTTTACCTCTTCAATACGTTGGATTTAGTTCATTGCAGTAGCAACACCTCTACCCAATAGATTTCCTTGATTTTTACTTCTGATTACATAATATACATTATTACACTTGTATAGTTTTTGATAATAGTTTATCTCAGCTACAAATCTGCCTTTACATTTCAGCAAAACTAGCAAAGTAGATGGTTTAAGATCTGTTGCACAGATTTCCTCAAGCAGGAAACCATCTGGGTGCACGGTATAAATATACCTAAAGAACATAGGTATAACAGGGAGAGATTGGAGACAGTCATTCATAGCATCCGCTGGGAACAGCGAACGTTAACCTGTCATCTACCTACCCTACCGACAGTCATTCATTCATTGGCTTTGGAAGGGATCACGTTAAGATTGTTGCGAAATGACATGAAATATGCCGTAATTCAGATATTGATATAGGCCTAAACAAAACAGTTGTAAAGTCAGTGAAAGCTAAAATGCCGAAATTGACATTGAATAAATTTTCTGGAGAACCTGTTGACTGGCATACATTTTGGGACAGTTTTAATGCTGCTATTCATTCAAAAGAGGACATTTCAAAAATTGACAAATGTAATTATCTGAGAAGCTTATTGTTCTGATAATCTCCTTATTAAAACTTTCGGTGATGAGACACCCAGACTAAAGTCTTAGTACAATTAGCCGTAGCTATTAGAGATGTCAGCAACCAAGTTCTGGATATAGCCCTTCAAAAATACCCGCACCTACAAGGTCTTGAATTAGCCGACATACCTGCCCAGTCTGATGACGTAGAAGTTCATGTATTGATCGGCACTGATTACTATTGGAACTTTTTAATGGTGTTACCAGAAGGGGGGAGACGGGAGGTTTTGTCGCTCTTCAATCAAGGATAGGATGGATTTTATCCGGTCCAGTTATACTTACCTGTGATAATTTACCTGCATGCTCAGTAAACTTTACTTCTAAAAATTGACTGTTCTTAAGTACCTATAGCCGAAGATAATTTAAATGTAACAGATGATTTGGAGAGGTTTTGGGATTTAGAAACGATAGTAATTCGAAAGGATGAATTTTCTGTTTATGATCAGTTTATAGAAGATATACAATTTGGAGATGGTAGATACGCAGTAGCCTTACAGTTTAAAGAGGATCACCCACTTTTACCTGATAATTTCCTACGTCGTCTAAAATTGAAACAAAACGTTTTACACGAATACAATAGAATTATCAAGGATCAACTGAAAGATGGAGAGAGTAGAAAAGGAAACCACACCAATCATAGGGAATCACCATTATTTACCGCATCACGAAGTAATTCGACTGAATAAAGATAAAACCAAAACTAGACCCGTCTATGACGCCTAAGCTAAAGTTAACCCTCAAAGTCCAAGTTTGAATGACTGTTTATATTCAGGTCCGCCACTAACACCCTTAATATTTGATATCCTGGTGAGATTTCGTTTAAATAAAATAGCAGTAATCGTCGACATAGAGAAAGCTTTTCTGAATAATTCCATTAAAGTAAATCATCGTGATTACCTAAGATTTCTTTGGGAAGATTAACCGTCCAAATATAGACATTTATAGATTTACGCGTGTAGTTTTTGGACTAACGTCAAGCCCTTTACGTTCAAATGCAACCTTGCGTCACCATTTAATATATATATATTTAATATACCGTTATGCAGTGGTGTAACCTATTTTCGTGGATATAAGGATTCAACACCGAATTTCGTCAAAGTTAAAAAAACGAAATTTTTTTTTTATGTCTTAGATGTTTCGTCAGATATTCTACAAAATAATTAAAACTGGTTTATTTCGATTTTCTTTATGAATCCTTCACTTTGACCCATATTTCATGAGCAACCAACTCGGCAACGGCGGCAGAATGCGTCATCTATTTTCGTGTACAATGTTTGATCTATAAATAAGTCTAGAAAAACACGTTGTATGGATACCTCCTCTTAGTATTTATCTTCAATATCAATTCATTATAACTAGTGACAATCCCTTCAAAGAACCACGATTTAAAAAAAAAATTATTGCTAAAAGTCACTGAAACAACATAAGAATATGGTCCACTTTGTGTTCCATAGAAATTTTCTGCTGACACGGAATCCGCTAGTTGATCACGTGACTTCATTCATTGGACTACATTCTAGCAGACGACACTTGGAATTCCGATTACGGCTTGGGATTATAAGGAAATTTGGCCGATAAAAATTGGTAACGTTTGGTAATAAGTGAAATCCGCCATTTTGTATTTGTCAAAGTATACATTAATACATTTTACCTTGCTTGAAACTACTGGATTCATTCTACTAGCTGATATTGTAGAGAAAACCCATGTTTATTAAAGCAAACTAATGCGGAGGTCGCGCAAGGTCGCTCATGTAAATTATTAATCCTTTCCGGAAATCCACGAATAATAGGTTTCCACGAAATTGAATTACTCGACTGTTACTGATTATGCGTCGGGTTTTAATTGTATAAAAACTGCTTTCGACCAGTGTAAAAAGCTTAAATTGACATTACTTGAAGGTGGTTTTAATTTGAGGAAATGGAACAGTATTGAACTTTTAAATATAATAAATAACAATGTTGAATTTACCAAATCAAAGATTGAAAACGGATTTATTGCTGAAGACGATCAAAGCTATACGAAGTTTACTTTGAATCAAGATAACGGTCCTAAAGTACTTGGAATATCATGGAATACTCAGTCGGATGTATTTATTTTTGACTTTAAAACGTTAACTCCTACCAAAGACATTACAAAGAGATTAGTTTTGAGTATCGTCGCCAAATTTTATGATCCCGTTGATATATTATCGCCAATTGTACTGAATTTTAAAAGAAACTTTGCCAAGAGAATTTGAATCGGGACGATTCTCTCGATGATAAACTGTGTATGAAATGGAAATCCTTATTAACAGATTTACAGAAGAAGAATCAAATACCTATCCCTAGATGTTATTGTCCTGATTTTTTTTTACTGATAAAGCTGAAATTGAATTACATGCCTTTGGAGATGCATCCGAGAATGCATATGGAACCTGCATCTACTTGAGATGTCGAAATGAAGAAGAAATCCACTGTTCCTTGATAGCATCCAAGACTAGAGTCTCGCCTTTACCAAACAAACCATGCCGAGATTGAAATTGTTAGCCTGTTTAATTTCTGCACATCTTGCAAGGAGTATAGAGAAATCATTTGATGACGTCTTAGACATAAGCCGAATAGTTTATTGGTCTGATTCACAAGTAGCACCTAGTTGGATACGTAATACAACCAAGGAATACAGACAGTTTGTCCAGAATAGCGTACTTGAGATCCGGAGAATTAGTC